TTGATCATGTAGCTCATCAACATGTCTTATTACTATGAAAAAGATGTCTTGGTTTTAAAGTGAAGAGTTGGGTTATATCATATAGGGATTAATAGTATAGCTTTGGAGAGATAAACATGACTTAAATTCAAAGTTTGCCTTTAATGAGCTTAAACTTTTTAAGCCTCAGTTTTATAATTTGTAAAACTGATATAATAATAACTCCCTCATGGAGTTATTGTAAGATTTAAATGTGATAATGCATCAGATCCTTTGTTCAGGGTAAACGCTCTATAAATGTTAGCTAGGGTGATCGTGATTATGTTAATGATAATAACAACACAGATTATTTTGGAAAACAAGTAAGTACTTGATTCTGCTATGAGCACCATGTGGAGTTACGCTGGAGCATAATAGTAACAGGAACTGAACAGCCTGTTCAAATGTTCAAGTTTATAAAATTAATCCTTTTTGTTCCTTTGGCAACAGATGAACAATTCCAACTGGACCAGCATGTCCCATTTTGTTCTCTTGGGCATGTCTACCCACCCAGAAGAGCAGATCCCACTCTTCCTTCTTTTTCTACTGATGTACACAATCAACATTTCTGGCAACTTCGCCATCATCTCATTAATCGTTTCTGCTTCATGCCTCCACACCCCCATGTACATCTTCCTCAGTAACCTAGCATTGGCGGACATCTGCTTCACATCCACCACAGTCCCCAAGATGCTGCAGAATATTTTTTCCCCTACAAAAGTCATTTCCTACATGGGCTGCTTAGCCCAGACTTATTTCTTCATTTGCTTTGCAGCCATGGAAAACTTTCTCCTGGCTGCGATGGCCTATGACAGGTACCTTGCCATCTGCCACCCTTTCCACCACCCTATGATCCTGACCAGAATGCTATGTGTGTGGATAATAGCTGTGTGCCACATCCTATCCCACCTTCATGCCCTGCTGCATACCTTTTTCATGGGCCGGCTGATCTTTTGTGCAGATAACAGGATCCCCCACTTCTTCTGTGACCTCTATCCGCTGATGAAGCTCTCCTGTTCCAGCACCCACCTCAATACCCTGATGATTCACACAGAAGGTGTGATTGTCATCAACGGTGCACTGGCTTTCATCATTGCCTCCTACACCTGCATCATCTCAACAGTCCTCCAAATTCCTTCAGCAAAGGGCAAATGGAGAACCTTTTCTACCTGTGGTTCCCACCTCACAGTGGTGGCCATATTCTATGGAACACTTACATGGGTCTACTTCCGGCCCCTTTCCAGCTATTCAGTGACCACAGGTCGTATTGTGACAGTTATGTATACAGTGGTGACCCCCATGCTAAACCCCTTCATCTATAGCCTGAGAAATGAGGATGTCAAAGGAGCCTTCAGGAAGCAAATCAGCAGAATACAGGCAACTTTCTTTAGATAAAACCTCAGAACACATTTCCAAGTTTTACCTGATTCTGGGGAAACAGTTTTGTTCCTTGCAGATCTAATTCCTCTAAAACTTCCCAGAGATATCTAAATTAATTCTGTATCATGGATTTTCTCATTACAAATTATCCTATGGTGTCTCGTAAACCCAAAGCACATGGAAACAAAAGGGAATCAACAAATATTTCATCTAAACACTAGCATGGCTTTTACTACAGTTGAACATGTTCTCTGGGCCTGAAATTAAACAGCAAGGTTGTAAAATTCAAACTTCTTATACTCAGGCAACAAAAACCTATTCTAGCTCATTTGTGGAGGAAATGAGTTTATTTCAAGGATATTTGGAGCAGCTGAATGTTTAAGGCTAGAGAGCCAGGATCGAAAAATGGAAAAGAACAAAAATTATGTAATTAGAACCACAGTCAAAATCATAACCCAAAACTAGTCTGTTGAGGACATCATTGTAATCTTCAAACTCTGTTCATGGCCGCCTGTACCCCCAACAATACTACCAGCCACAGTCAGTGGCATAGCCCTTGGAGGCCTGAAAACTGGATATTGACACCTTCAAGAAGAGCTGCTCATTTAGTTCTTTCTCATTTTTTCCTTTTTCTTTTATTTTAATTTCTTTTATACATTCAATCACATATGTCACTTAGCTTGTAAAGTGAATGCTCCAACATGAATACATTTCTCACCAGCCCAATTGAGGATACTATACATGTTATCAACAACAGATATTAACCCATTTCTTTGTCCCATAAATGTATTGCCTGTCTATTTTTCTCCTTAATGTCTTTCCTCAGACTTTCCTCCTTCTCCTACCCTCTTCCCACACTGTATCTAGTATCTATAACTATTTTCTATGTTTCTATATCCTCTAGTCATTCAGTGTCAGCCATAGAGTATGGGGAATCAGTATATATTAAGTGGAGACATACAGAGTCTCTCCTTCATAGCCTGGCTTGCTTCACTCCACAGTAAATCTTGCATATTCATCCACTTTCTGTCAAAAGCCAGGGTCTTGTTTTTTTTTGAATGAGTAGTATTCTATAGAGTGCCACACTTTTTTAATCCATTCTTCTGTTTGTGGACGTTTGGGTTCATTCCATGTCTTAGCAATTGTGAATAATGCTGCAATAACCATAGATGTGCAAGCACTATTCTAAGTATTCTTCTGTTCTTTGGGTAGATACCAAGGGGTGGGACTGCTGGATCATATGGTAGTTCTATTTGTAGATCATTGAGGAATCTCCATATTGTTCTCCACAGTGGATGGAGCAATTTCCATTCCCACCAGTGGTGCAGGAGAGTTTCCATTTCACCACATCCCTGTCAGTACTTATCTTTTTTTTTTTTTAATCTTTACCTTTCTGACTGTAGTGAGGTGGTATCTCATTGTGGTTTTGATTTGTGTCTCCCTTATGACAAGGGATGTTGAGCATTTTTTCATATACCTTTTGGCTGTTCATATGTTGTTTTTTTTCTGCTCATTCTCTCATCTTTTAATTGGGTTGATCGTCTTCTTTCAGGTGAGTCACTTGAGTTCCATGTGTATTCTGCTTACTAGTCCCTTATGTGAAGCATAGTTTACAAAAATATTTTCCCATTCCAAGGGTTTTCAATTCACACTAATTAATTACTGTGCCTTTTGCCATGGAGAAACTTCTTAATCTGTAATCTCACTTGTCTACTTTTTGGGATTATTGACTGTGTTTCTTATTTAAGAAGTCCCAGAGTTTCCCCAGTGTTTTCTATCAGTATAGTTTGAGGTCTTAGGTTGAGTTGATTTTTGTCAATGGTGAGAGGTAGGGGTTCAGACTCATCTTTCTCCAGGTGAACATCCAGTTATTTCAGCATCATTTGCTAAAGAGGTTTTCCTTTTCCACTGGATTGACTGCTACCCTCTGTCAAAAATCAGTTGACTATGTGTTTGGGAGTTTATTTATGGGATCTCTATGCTGTTCCATTGGTCTACCTGTCTGTTTTTGTGCCAGTACTATGCTGTTTTCATTTTCATAGCTTTATAGTATATTTTCAGGTCAGGGAGTGAGATGCCAGTCACTCCATTCTTCTTGTGCAGGATTGTTTTGGCAATATGAGGTCTTTTATGATTCTGAACAAATTCTATGATTCTCATTTCTTGATCTGTGAAGAGTATTTCTAGTACTTTGATTGGAATTACACTAAATATGTAGATTAATTTGGGTAGAATTTTCATTTTTATTATATTAATTCTTCTAATCCAGGGACACAGGATGTTCTTCCACTTTTTTGTGTAATTTTCAATTTCTTTTTCTACTTTCTCATAGTTTTCCTTGTGGAGGTCTTTAACGTCTTTAGTTAAATTTATTCCTAGGTATCTTATCCTTTTTGGGGCAATGGTAAATGTAATTACTTTCTTCAGTTCTATCTCAGTCTGCCTGCTGTTTGTATATAGAAATGCTATAGATTTATGTATGTTTATTTTGTATCCTGCAACTTTACTGTATGCATTTACTACATCCAGGAATTTTTTTATGAATACCATTGGGTCTTCTATGAATACAATCATGCCTCAGAAAATTGGAAAAGCAATAATAACAACCCAAAATACAAAAGACACCAGGATAAAAGAAATAATGAAGATTCAAGCAGAAATAAATGAAACAGAAAATAAGCAAACTATACAGAAAATAAATAAAAGTAAAAGCTGGTTCTTTGAAAAGATAAACAAAATTGATACACCAGTAGCAAGACTAATTAAGAAGAGAGAAAGGAACCAGGTAAATCAAATTTGCAATGCAGACAATATAACAACAGACATAATAAAAATACAAAACATCATTAAAGGATAATATGAACAATTATACACCACAAACAAGAAAACCTGGATGAGATGGACTAATTCCTACACACAAGTAATCTACCAAGAGTGAGTCCAGAGGACATGTAAAATCTGGACAGGCTAACAAGCCATGAGATTGAATCATTAATAAATAACCTCCCAACAAAGAAAAGCCCTGGTCCTGATGGCTTCACCTCTGAATGCTACAAAACTTTTAAAGAAGAGTTAACCCCCATTCTGCTCAAGTTATTTCTAAAGATATGAAAGGATAGAATACTTTCAAATTCATTCTATGAAGCCTCCATCATCCTTATCCTTCAAACTTGAGAGGTTTTTCGCTATAGGGCGTGTGCGCTCGCCAGACAGAGAGAGAGAGACATAGAGACAGAAAGCGAGAAATCACCACCCCCCCACCAGAGGGGATGGTCACGCCGCAATCCCTTCTCCTCCAGTCTCCTCTCGGGATCTTGAGCACGCACGCACACGCGCCCAGCATGAGTTTTAAGCCACCGGGTCCGGGATGCAAACCGTGGTCGACTACGTGGAAGTCCAGCTACATAGCCATTACGCTAACTGCTGGTTCCCAACCAGGTAGGCTTTATTCCAGGGATGCAAGGATGGTTCAACATATGCAAAACTATAAATGTAATACACCATATTAACAGAAAGAAAGATAAAAACCACATGATTATATCAATTGATGCAGGAAAAGCATTTAATAAAATACAACAGCCTTTCTTGATTAAGACTCTCAGCAAAGTCAGCATAGAAGGGTCATTCCTCAGCACAATAAAAGATATTTATGAAAAACCCATACCTAACATCATCATGAGTGGGGAAAACCTGAAAGTTTTTCCACTGAAAGCTGGTACAAGACAAGGATGCCCACTTTCTCCACTCCTTTTCATTATAGTACTATAAGCCTCACCAATGCAATCAGAAAAGAGATAAAATAAAAGGCATTCGAATAGGAAAAGAAGAGGTGAAATTTTCACCATTTAATTCTTTTCACCACTATGTCTAGATTCAAAATAAGGGAGTACATCTGTTTGGCTGAGAATTGGTCACTTGCCCACACCTAGCTGTTAGGTCACAGCTAGTAGTATCCTAGCTGCCAGGATACTAGGAGAGCAAAGTTGATACATTCCTTTTCTTTAAGTTTCTGCAAGACAGATCGGACAAGAGTCTATCCATGGTGACATACACTGCTGTATACTGTGTTCTGCAGGCAGGCTAGGACTACATGGGAGGCCTTGTTTTGATTCTGATCCAACCTGAAGGCTGGGCACAATAGTGAATCCCTGCGATCTTAGTGACTCAGGGTGGCTGAGACAGAAAGGTCACGCTTCCCTGTCTAAGGAAGAACTGGGTGTTGTGGCAAGTACTGTGTACTCCTAGCTGGGAGGCTGAGGCAAGAGGATAGTGACAAGGCCTCGTATTTAAAAAAAAAAAGAAAGAAAGAAAAAGAAAGAAGAAAGACAGGTGTGTAATCGGGGTATCTATTCAATTATGGGAAGAGGATCATAATGATATATACTTAATAACAATGTCCCACTGCATAGGGTGAGACTTATAGATGTTCCAAAATTAAGCACTGTCACAACTCTCCAAGTTGCATTTCCAAAACCTCCAGAGGCACCATTCAGAGATAATTTGAACTTCTATCTCAGCATGCTCCTGGTCTTCTCTATAGCTGACACATAAAATGTGTCTAATACTGGATGTCTGTCTGTCTTCTGACCAATTAAGGTTGGGCATGAGAAACAAATTCAAGAGCCAAGGTGTCTATTATGATGTCAATTTTTCAGTCTCATGGGTATAAGGTCAAAAGGAAAATTTCAGAGGCACCTCTCTGGACATGGGGCAAAAGTTGCAAGTGCAGACTTATTTAATCCATCTGTGTGTATAAAGTTGCTCTTACAGGATATGACTGGTTATGACACTGAACTGAAAAAGAGTTCAAACTGTGGTCATGTTGTATAATGTGCTAGAAGAAGATTTCTTGTAACTTACCTATGTCTCAGGCTACCACTGTAAGAAACTAAGTTTCCTGATTTTGGCTGCATCTGGGTAATGAATTCCTCAAAAATAAGCTAGACTATGAAAGACAGGCATTGCATGTCCCTGCCAAATATATACTGAATATCTGCACTCTTTAGCAGAAACTGAAAGATGAGAAGGTGTAATAGCAGGCCTTATAATAGCAAGATATTACAAACAGTATAGGAGTGTTTGGGTACTTGGGGTGGGATGAGGCTCAGGAGAAAAGAGAAAAACATTGAACATATACAAAAATCTGTTGATAATGTACATGGTAATATCTATGACTTGACTAATATGCACTGTATCCATGCTGAGGAAAAACCATTTTGTATGCTGTAAAGATGCATAGTGACTAAATATAAATAAATTAAATTAATGAAGTAAAAATAAAAACTGGTGCCCTGACATAAAATGATAAGAACAAGGAAATAATACCAGCTTTTGATTTTTAACTCTAGTTCTTCACTTTTGCCAGAAAATACCTGACATAGCCAATATTTTTGGCTCTAATTTTTGTCCATATCTGGTGTAAGCCCTTTCTGAATTGTTCTCAGTCTCATTGCCTTCAATGAAGTGGATCCTTTAACAGCTTTTGTCACTTTGTTCTTCAAGATCATAACTATGGTGGAATGAGATGTGCCTGACGGGTAAGCAACAGCAATCACTGGTTTCCACCTGCTGTAGTTCTTAACAACTTCTAATTTCATTTCCAGGTCAGTCACTCCACATGGCCTCTTACTGGCAACATTACAGTAGATTTTACATAGAGCTTACCATACTATTTACAAAATCTTTCTATCACACATTAAGTAAAATTTTTTGTTTCATATTCTTAGTAAACACTTTTTCTTTTTGGAGAGAGAGGTTTTTGCTATAGAGTGTGTGTGTTTGCCAGAGAGACAGAGGGAGACAGAAAGTGAGAACCCCCACCCCCACCCCTGTCTCTGTCCACCATTATTTAATTTTCATTTTTGGAAACATCAACATCAATATAAATGGTCTATCTAACTAACACTTTGTGATCGCAGTTCCTGATCTCTATAGATTCAACCATCTTTTACTTTACCCAATCTCAGCCACCCACTCTTTGATCATATCTTACACATCGCCATCACCAATAATTTCACCATGTATGAAATCTCAATTTTAATTTTAAATCCCACTTCCTGTCCACATCTATTCTTTCACCTTATTTAATTTAGTTCTTAAACTCTAACACTTGTAGGACATCATTGAGATCTTTTGTCTCTCTAAATTGTTGTTCATTATCTATTGCCTAATTTAGTTTTCCTTCCCACACTAACAACAATAAATTTGATGGTTCAGGACAATATCCACCTTCTTGAAAACACACTTAATTTCCCCTTTTTTTTCTTACCTGGTAAAATCTTAGCCTTAGGTAAACCTAACATTTTTCTTATTTTTGTCCATACGTGAATACCTCAATATTATTGAAAAATATCATGCAATCTTGCTAATTTGTCTAATAGTAAACTTGTGAACAGAATACCTAAGTAGATCCTCAATGTTGGCAGAAAATCCCACAAGAACCCCTAGAACTTTTCTTTCCCATACTTAAGAATATTATTTCACAAATTCTGTTTCTACAACTCTTTAAAACAACCATGCTCCCCACGTTTCTACACTGAAGCTTCTTTAAGTATATGGCATCTTCACACTACCAAATCCACCAGGCCTCCTACATTTAAATCCATATTCTCTGACTTCCTCTCTACTATGTGGAAGAAGAGGCTCAGCTCCTAGAAAAATCATCCCCTCAACAGATATATATATACTCTTTTTTTTTTCCTCAGACATGCATACTCTTTCAAGGACTTAGATCTTCTAATTACTTTCATTCTTGAGTCATTAAAGTTTCATTCTTTATGTATTTTACGTCATGACTTTTCCAACAACCCAATAGATCAGTTCTATCAGCAAACAAACATGCTTAATGTCTCTACTCTTCCCAAATTACAAGAAACTTTTCCCTTGATTCCATGTTCTCTTTAAATTCAACAGAATTTTTTGTCTGCCTTTTCAGGGAAAGGCTATACTTAAAAAGTGTCTATAATCACAACCTCCACTTCCACTTTACAATTATATTATACAATGACTAAACATGGAATATTTCCCTAACACTTCACTTAACTGCTCTTACCAGTTTCCAGTAATCTACATCTGGCCAAATCTAATAATTAGTTATTTTTTCCTCATTAATGACCTCTCATCTACATTTGTAAGAACAACCACTTCTCCATTCTGGTAATACTCTTTTCTAGGATTCTAACATTTCTTTCTTCCTACTATTGTTCACTTCTCAGTTCTCTTGGCTATCTCCTCTTCCAGACCTCTACATGTTGGAGTGCCTATCTGCTCAGGTCTCTGCCCATGCTTCGCCTCCCTTTTTTATACTCCCTTGCTAGGTAATTTTATCTGGTCCTACGACTTTGGACATGATCTACATTTTGTTGACTCTGGCATTTCTATCCCCAGACAGGTCCTCTTTATGAGGCTTAAGAATTATATATTTGACTGTCCACAAAATATCTCCACTTGGATATATAATATACATCACTAAATTGACATGGCCAAAGTAGAGTTATTGATTTTTTTTAATCCACACACTCTCCTCTCTCCATAGTCTTCTGCATGTCAATAAATAGCATAAGAGCTCCACCCATTTTCACAGTCATCCTTGATTATTCTCTTCCCCTTACACATTACACCTAAAACATACATGTGTATGAATATTCCTACTTCTCATATAACCCAAATCTGCTCACCTGCTCCTGGTATTGGAGGCACTGTGCAAATTCCTCATTCTCTATTATTAATGACCTACATGAGCTTCTTTGGGGTGGTAAAGGGTTGCAGATAAAATGATTCAGTTACTGAAAGTATTGAACTTATTATTACTACTGTGAGCCGAGAAGTTGTTTATATGAAAGACTATAAAAATATTACTATTTTAAGAGAGGCTAAGATTTTTTCATTGTTTACTCAAAACTCACTCTTTTATCTAATGGTATTGTAACTCACTCTGACATCTCATTGGAAGACAGTACGTGCTATGCCATCCTTAAAATAATCAAAGTTCTACAAGCCATACTGACTTACCATTTTTCTTAGTCATCCTCTATGCTCTATATTAGACCTGAAAAATGAAAGGTTCAGTCTTGTAATTTTAAATATCTTTTCAGTTTCTCAGTGATGAGATGCTAAGTCAGTCAACAGGGACTAGAACTGTTTATTAACTCACTTCTTCCCAAATACAACCTAGAGGGAGCCAACAGGAAATATTATTCAACAGGAATGTGATTAATATCATTTATTAGGAATATAGCCCATCAATTTAGGGGGTTTTCAGGTTAAATATGAACTCCTTGGTCTCAGAAACTGTGCTGCTGCACTCTGTCTGCCTGGAAACTGGGTTGGAAGCTTCCTGAGATACAGAGTTTCCTGAAAAGCCTCTGCAGAGCTCGCTTAACCTCCTGGTTCCTGAGGCTGTAGATTAGTGGATTTAGCATAGGGGTCACCACGGTGTAGAAGATAGCAACCTGGCGATCCTGATCCAAGTCATAGCTGGAGGATGGCCGGAGGTACATGTGAATCACAGAGCCATACAGGAGCAGCACAACCAGGATGTGGGAGCTACAAGTGGACAGAGCTCTGCGCAGGGCAGCAACTGAGCGCATGCAGACTATGGCAATACAGATGCGAGCATAGGAACCCAGAATGAAGAAGAAGGGACTGACCACCACAGCTACACCCTCAGTGAATATTAGCATTTCATTGACCACTGGTCGGGTACAGGAGAGCTGCAGCAGAGGAGTGATGTCACAGAAGAAGTGGGTGACCTGGTTACCACAGAAGGTTAAGCGGGTGACCAACACACTATAAAGGAGGCTATTGAGGCTGATGACCAACCATGAAGTCAATGTTATGTGCAGACAGAGGCGACAGCTGACAATGGCAGAGTATCTTAAGGGGTCACAGATGGCAACATAACGGTCATAGGCCATGGCAGCCAGCAAGTGGCCTTCCATGCTGCCAACAGCCATAAAGAAAAACAGCTGGATCATGCAGCAGTTATAGGAGATAGTTCGACTCATAGACAGTGTGTGCACCAGCATCTGAGGAACAGTGATGGTTGTCAGAAATATATCAATAAAGGAAAGTTGGCTGAGTAGGAAATACATAGGCGTCTGAAGCTTGGGGTCTAAGCAGGCAACAATGACTAGTAGGCCATTGCCTATAACTGCAACCAGGTACATGGCAAGTACAACACCAAAAATAACTGACTGCATCTCCGGCCGACTAGACAAGCCCAATAAGACGAATTCAGTTACTTCTGTCCTGTTTTTAGTGGCCATCAGATATGGTCTACATCACCTGCAAAAATGGAGGATCAGAGTTGGAAAGAGAAAAGAAAGATGTCAAGACTCAACCAGACCTCAGAGTGTCTGTAATTAGGCCACTGGAGTAAGGACCTGGTCCTCACTTTGTACATCAAGAATCTCAATTTGGGGCCAGTCCCATAGCACAGCCATTAAGCACACTGCATAGGGAGCCAGATCTCACATGACTGACTACTGTTTGAATCCCAACCCCAGTACCTTGGAAAACATGTCAAGCATAACTGCATGCATGCCCCAAATCCTGAAGAAAAAGAGGAAAAAAGATTGTGCAATGGCTATACCACATTGGGAAGTTCTCTCTGTCTTTCTGTCTCTCTCTCTCTTTGGTGAGCACATGTGCCCTCTGGCAATTAAATAGACAAATAAGTCATTTTTTTAAAAAAAGGATCTCAATTTTGTTCTTCTGGTATGGATATTCTCATTTCTTTTTTTTATTTTTTTAATTTTATTTTCCACCTGTTGTTTATTTGCTTTTGTATATTGTGCTAAATTTCAGAGCTGTTGAATCTACATATTCCCACGTGAACCCTACTTCAATTTTTTTTATTTTTTCATTTCATTTTCTTCCATACATTCAATCACATTATTATTTATCTTACAAAATGTATATTTCAGCAGGTGAACACCTCTCCCCAGCACCGTCGATAAAACCACAAAACATCTTCAACAGATAATACCACTCCTCTTTGTGCCATTAATGCTTTTCCTCCCTGTCTCTCCCCCAAATGTCCTTCCTCAGACCCTCCTCTTTCACACACACTATATCTGGTATTTACATCTATATACTGCGTTTCTATATCCTTTAGACAATTAGTTTCAGTCATAGAGTGCAGACATTCGGTATATATTAAGTGGGGACATACAATGCCTCTCCTTCATAGCATAGCTTGCTTCACTCAGCAGTAAGTCTTCCATATTCATCCACTTCCTCTCAAAAGCCAGGGTTTTGTTGTTTATTATGGATGTGTGAGAGTAGAAATTATTAATATAATCACTGATTTTATTAATGATTTTTAATGAATAAAATAACAATGGATGAGATTCTCATGTCTTTTCAGCTTAGGTTTTCCCTAAAGCACACCAACAGAGTATAACAAAGAGGTAACTTTTGAGGCTGCTATATGAATACAGGTATTTCGACAAATACTATATATCCACATGAATGTGCGAAAAATAACTTTTAAATAGTAGAGTGAAAGTGTAGGATAATATATAATAAAAAGTAGAGGTCCCTCAGTCTAAGCTTGCTTACCTCTTTGTTTATATTTAACTTTTCTGGTGATTCACACCTCCGTGAACCAGGTTTATGTGCCTTTGTTCAATTTTGTTTGTTTTGTTTAGCTTTGAGAGATGTTTTATATAGGGCGTGTATTCTTGCCAGAAAGACAGAGAGAGAGAGGAAATAAGAAATCACCCCCCAAGGGGGATGGCCATGCCACAATTCCTTCTTCTCCATTCTCCTCTTGAGATCTTGGGCACATACACACACACACACACACACACACACACACACACACACACACCTGGCATTGAGTTTAAGCCACCGGTTCCAGAACTCAAACCGCGGTTGGCTACATGGGAGTCCAGTGGCACAGCCATTATGCCGCCTGCTGGTCTCTCAACTTTTATCAATTTAAGATATTTTTTGAACTTTCTTCTGGAATGCTATTAACCAACTTAATGGTTAGACTTCCTTGTCTTTCTAGAGAAAATTTACCAAGTTTTCACTGGACAGTTAATAAAATGCTAGGCTATCATAATCGGAGTTTGAGATCAGGAGAGCATCAAGAATGTTTGTAGAATAGCTAATTTAGTTGTATTGCAGGAAAACCTCTTCATTTTGGTTAGCACTCCTATTTTCTACACCCTTTCCCCATTCTTCCTTCAACTCCCCTCCAGAATTGGCTCCTTTTGGGCTTTGGATCTCTCAGGATATTAGCACTTTCCTCGTTTGTAATCCCTTCCTGGGTCTTAAATCCATCATTAATTTTTTTCTATATTTCAGAAATTCTCTGATATATCACATCTGCTAGTGAGTCTCCTTGTTTTCCATTTATTATTACAGGGAATTATTTTCATTCATTAATACAGGTCTTCCCATTGTTATTATTTTGCTGAGTGTTCAAGAGAAACTGAGGAATAATATATATGATAAATGAAAACATTTTACCAAAAGAGAAAGAATTAAGATGTATTGGGTCATTGGAAAAGTCATGACTTATTTTCCCATGTTTTTCTATGAAAAATGTGTCATGACTTTTCTGATGACCCAATATATCTACAATATAAGAAGTTAGTCAAAAAGAGGATTAGACTCTCCTTCTCCTCTTTCTCCCAGCATCTTCCCACACTGAATGTAGTATTTATAACCATTTTCTATGTTTCTATATCTTCTAGTCATTCAGTTTCAGCCATAAATAAAAAATAAATAAAAATAATGAGAATAAATAATAATAATAGTAATCTGGAAAAAATGAAAAACTGTTGATTATGATGTGGAGAGTAATGTCTTTGCCTTGACTGATATGCATGGTAATCATGCTGGAAAAAGAAATATTATACACTGTAGACTAGATCATACAGAAAATCATCTCAGATGTAGAAGATAGAATCAATGGCCTAGAAAAATCCACCATGAAGACTGAAAAAAATTGCTGCCCAAAATTAGAATAATATATGAGAAATACTAGATACCATCAAACATCCAAACATCCAGATAATTGGTATCCCAGAAGGTGAAGAGATTCATAAAGGTGTTGGTAATCTATTCCATGAAATCCTGGAAGAAAACTTTCCAAATCTAGAGAGCTATTCAAAGATCCAGTCCCAAGAAATACAAAGGACCCCAAATAGAATCAATCCAAGATCTTCTCCAAAACACATTATAGCCAGATTGACCAAAACCACAGATAAAAACAGGATACTAAGATTGACAAGAGAGAAACATCAAGTTCCCTACAAAAGATATACCATCAGGCTAACAGCAGACCTCTCATCAGAAACAATGTGAGTGAAGAAAGAATGGGAAAATATATTCAAAGTGTTAAGGGAAAAGCAGTTTCAACCAAGAATACTGTATCCAGCAAGATTATCCTTCATATGGGAAAAAAAGACAAGGACATTCTCAGATAAACAAAACCTGAAAGAATTTACTAACACCAGACCAGATCTCCAAGAAGTTCTCAAGAGAGTGCTATACTTGGAGAATTAAATACAGACACACAGAAATAAGAGTTCAAAAACTAAGGAAATGGCCAATTTAATCATATGGACAAGTCTGGAGTTGAATATTATATCCCAGAATTTAATCGAGAAGATCGGACCACAACAGAAGATAAAGTACATGAGACGAAACTGGTGAAATAGAATTTTATGACTTTTGACTAAAACATTGCTGGTTTTCTTCTAGGCTTTGTTTTCTTATTATAAGGGTTTTTGTTCTATCTTGAGCTGCCAATAGGTTAATATACCTACTATTTGAACAGAATCCCAACTTGTTTCCTGGCTTTAAGTTTTAAGCAAAGTTCCTTAGCATTTCTTTGATTTACTAAAGCTAAAACTGCTTTTCTTGAAATTAAAAAATATATCAAACAATACCTATTTAATGACCACAGTAAGCTATATAGCATCAGCTAGGTGCTACTTTAGTGTATTCATTCTACTCAGAGTTTCATGTCTAAAGTCAGACATGTATTCACAGATACGTATATATCAGCTGAACTTGCTATTGAAAGTAGATTATTTAAGAAATTTTGTGCATCAATAAAATGTGGAGTAAAAAAGGAATGGAAAACAACTATAGACATCAGAGTTAGTGTGAGAGGAGGATGAGAAATGGCAGAGGGTGAGAAATAGGGATGAAACTAGAAATGGAAAATTATTGATAATAACATGTATGATTAAGCCATTATGCTGTATATTCCGGGTGGGAAATCACATTTTGTATGTTGCAACCATGCTCAATGAATTAATGTAAATTAATTAATTAATTAAAATTAAAATAATTTTAAAGAGAGATTAAAAAAAGAAATATTATACACTGTAAAAATATATGTGATTAAATTTAAAGAGTATTAAATACTCAAGTCCACTAATAAGGAACATTTCCTTTGAATAATATTGAAAATTGGTCTCTTTTGAGCTCTTTATTAGACAGCAGGTCAGACATTCATACTGTCTTTCATCACAAAGACATTAAACACATCAGGCACTAGATTCCTCTTGCATCTGCCGCATTTTTCTGAAGCACATCATAATTTGCTTAGTTGGGCTTGAATTTTCACAAATCTCCACAATCACATGTTTTCAGACCATAGTTAATGGGTCACTCTATACACATTTTATATAAACTATTATGTACTATTTCTCATATAACAAATTCTACAGCTCTGAGTAAACTTTAATGCCTTAATCCCTAATATAACAGGTAAACTACTCCTGAGGGATACACAAACTATCTTGCATACAGAGGAGTTAGAATGAATTAATAACATTTGGAAGAATAGTGCACCTCAGTCATAACTGATGAAATGTAAATTAATAACATCAATTACATTTTTAAAAATCATAGGCACTATATTGGAGACCATGTGAGTATTAATCTGTAGAGATGAAATCAAGTAATCTGCTGTAAATCTGCAAGTCTGAAATGTGGTAAGAAAGCAATTTGACTATGTGGATAAAAGAACCTGGAAAATATTCATGACCTTTGGCCAAAGAGTTAATTTTAGGAAGATGATTTTACTAAAGAAATAATTCAGGTGATCATAGACTCTGTACAAGAATATTCATTATGCAAAGTGGTGTACAACTTAGTTGTCCAATTATACGAGATAAGTTAAATAAATTTTGGTACATTCACATAACAAATTATGCATCCATTAAGAATAATCTTTGGGAGAACCAGTAGTTAGCGTAATGGTTATGTCGCTGGACTCCCACGTAGTTGACCGCGGTTC